CGCGGCTGCAATTTCCGGCCTGGAGAATCCACATGAATGGCCAAAATATCGTTTTGTCCTTGGAAGAATTTTGCAGGTTGTACGGGTGATGGGGGAGGTGTCTTTCAAGCTCTCTTCACCGAAAGCCAATTCATTGGCTAGGGAGATAGCCTGCAGTGTCACCAGAGACGGACGCCTCACCTCCTATTTGGCACTAGGAGGACCTTCATGGCTTCAAGATCGTATCGACAAAGATCGTCGTTCCATTGGTTAACTCTTATTGGGTTTATTTCTTTTTCTTTGGGTTGTTTAATTATTGTTCTCATTTTCGTTCTGCAACTTTGTACCTCTTCATTTCTCATATCAATCTATCTCAGTGGAAAAAAAAAAACACTCACTTAACTATCTCAAAATCCAAAATTTTCTAAATTCCACCAAATCCTCCCAAATCTTTACTCCAATACACCCCCCTAAGCGTCGGAGTTGAGCCAAGAAATATAAGTCTCGAGAAGATAAACCAAGAACTCAACAAGCAACGCTAGTTATTAAATTCTTTTTTTTTCCACAAATATTTCAGTAATTAGCCTTTTTAAAAAAGTTGTTTGTAGCTAAATATTTTTACCGATTTACTTCATTTGTCATATTCTCTTGTCATAAAAAAACGAGAAGATTGATTATCACCTCTTATTTATATTTTTTTTATTCTTTCTATGTTTTAGATAGATTTATTTAAAATAAATTAATTAATTTTATGGGTAAAGATATATATATATATAAATGGAAAATTTGATTAATGAACGAAACCTACAAAAAAAGAAGGTTAAACTTATTAAATTATCATACATTATTTTATATCTATCGCAAAATTCATAATTTAAAACAATAACATAAAATTTTAATTTTAAATAAACTATGTTGTTATGAATTTAGTATATATAAATTTCACGAAGAAAACCAGTTTTATTTTTCTAATTGAACCACAAACTATGACAATATTCTTTTATTTTCTGTCAATGCCAAAGAAGTAGCCTATGCCTACCAATGGCAGATTTTGTCTCTCCTAAACTGTAATTTGCAAAGTTATTAGTATTACCTTTGATTCTTGTTATATCCAAACCAAGTAAAAATTTTTGGATATATATGTGAAGTGAAAACGTGTAGGAAAAGTTATTGATACGTGACTATGGTTAGGTTGATTAGGCCACGGTTATGACGGTTTAATTAACTAGTTTTGGTGTTTTACTTTATGATTTTGGTTTTCATAATTTCTTCTTTTATGTTAAAAAATTTTTTTTTATGCATTAGAGTAATGATTAAGTTGTATGAAGACCTATACAAAGGTTTCTATAGATTAATAAGAAACCAACCGCCAACAATTAACCTAATTTTCTAGAAAGAGATTTGGGTTAAAAGAAGGTTTTGTTTTAAAACCTTTGGCTCATATTAGTTATCTAGAAGACATAATCCTAATTGGATTTGGAACTTTGTCCTCTTCTCATGAGTTACGAGTAAAGCATGTCCTCTGTTTCTGTTTTCTCTATATATACATTATACACTATGATATAGAAGAAACTTCACAACAAATCTATGGACGAGGAAGGCACTTTAGTACCATCCCGTGACATGTACAGGCTTTACTTTAAAGGTTTAGTAAGCGACGAAACGTCGCAGTTATTGGCGGGATTTGGGGTTGCAATTTGCGACCAAGACGATAATCTCTTGTTTCAGATGAAGGGACCAATTCATGGCTCGGACATTACGGTTGTGGAAGCTGAGCTTACGGCATTGAAACGAGGACTAACCGCAACTTTGAAGTTGGGTCTTGATCAGATCTCAATCTGTTGCGATCATAATCATATTTACGAATTGGTAAGTCTTTCCTTGGCTTTTAAGTTTCTCACATGTCTTTACATAATTGATTTTTTTCTTCGTTGAATGGTATTAGGTCATGGGGAGATCTGTCCCGGAACAAGATAGCATTGCCCTGCTAATGAATGATGTTCAACGCATGAGACAACAATTGACATATAGTACTCCTATTCTGGTGACTAGAGATCAAATTCGCTGTGCTTATACGCTTGCAATAGAAACAGTAGCTTCGGAGATCAGCATACATATGCCTGCGACTTGCAGCATACATTCGGATATTTTGAAATTTCGGTTCGGTTTCGGTTTGGTTCCGGTTCTTTCGGTTTTAAAATTTAGTATCCATTCGGTTATTTTGCTTAGGATATTTTCGGATATTTCGGTTATTTTTGAGTATTTTCGAATATTTTTGGATATTTTTCGGTAATTTTTGAGTATTTTTACTATTTTTATAGATTTTTCAAGTATTTTTGATTATTTGGTCAATAAAACTCGAATCCATCATATCCCGCAGAGAATTCCAAAGAAACATTAAGGGGGGTGTATTGTAACTAGGATTTTGGAAGGTTTTGTTTTTTTATTAAAATCCTCTGTTATTGAACTTGTGAGTTTTAAATCCCATCCTAAATCCAATGTTATTGAAATTGCAATTTCTATAAAATCACTCACAATCTCTTGTTATTCAAACAATAATTTGTAAAACTTATACCAAATCACCTGTTATTCAAAACATAATATTTTTTTTTGAAGAAAACTACAACACTGATTTTAGGAGACTATACATTTTAACATAAGAAATCCAATTGAAAAAATCACACCATGAGAGGTGGTATTTGGAAGAATTTGTTTTTATAAAAAAAATCACAAAAAAAAGAAGAAATCGTTCTTTCACTCTTTCGTTCTCATCGTCATATGCATCGTCACTTCTTTTTTTCATCCCTTACAAAAAAAAAAAAAAAAAAAAGAATCCCAGGAATTTTCTTTGAACAAGTCTCTCATTTTCCTTGAAGACGCCTGAGAGTAATCGATCATGCGTCACAGATACCGTCTGCTTCTAGCTAACGCAACCCATTTTTTGTAGGACCTGAATATTTGAACAGGGGCACAATCTAATATTTGTAAAGCAATTAACATAGAACAAGTATCAAAAATCAACAATACCGAAACGATGATTGAAGAACGGAGATTGACAGTGGTAAACAGAGTCGAGGGAAGTGTACCGACATGTCTTCATTATCAATGCGAGTCTAAGCTAACTCTTAGAAGTTGTGACAATCTTTTAACACCTAAACTAAAAGCGATATGAGAACAAAGGATCGAAGAGGAATTGATTCCTGTGCCGGATAGAGTTTATTGTCCAAAACCGACGTGCGCGGGATTAATGTCGAAAACCGAGCTTTCTACCTCAACTGAAGAAGATGGAGGTAGTAGGAGTTGTTGTGTCAAATGCGGTGAACCCTTTTGCATCAACTGCAAAGTTCCGTGGCATAGTAACTTGTCATGCGATGATTACAAGAGATTGGGTCCAAATCCTACAAAAAATGATATAAAGCTAAAAGTTTTGGCAAATCAGCAAAAGTGGCGTCAATGTGGAAAGTGCCAACACATGATTGCACGTATCGAAGGATGCAACGTAGTAATCTGCAGGTATCATCATCCTCCCATTCTCTAGCTATTATAATTTTGGAATATGATTATGTTTTTTTTTTTTGGCCTAATTAAGATAGTAATTTAATTTGCTTTGGTTTGATGGATAGATGCGGATATAAGTTTTGCTATAAATGTGGAGCCGAATGGAAGGAAGGAGGTTGCACTCATCGAGTGACGCACGGGCTGATCAATTGTGGAATTTGCATTGTACTCGTTTTGATAATTGCCTCTCTACTAATCCTTATGGCTTATGGGCTTATGGCGTAATTTAATAACTAAAATTTTTGTACCATTTTGTATTACCAATTAATTAGAAGACCTTTTATCATGTTGAATATAATATATAAGTAATTGCGTTTGCATATATCGTTCATGTTGCCAAATGCCAATAGAAAAATGATTTTGGGAGTGATCGTTATATTCCAAAATTGTAATAATGTGTTAATGGTTGATGGATAGATGTGGATATTCGTTTTGTTACACATGTGGAGCCAAATAGAACGAAAAGGTAAAGCTGGACGCGGATATATGTTGTGTTGCTGTCGGTGTTATAAATTTTCTCATTTTGCATTATGGAAAAAAATAATCGGTTCGTTCATGTTGCTAATAAAACAATCACTTTAGATGTGAATGGTATTCAATTATCGTTGTTGTAGGGATTAAACCATTAGTATGGTTAGTGGTTACTAGTTACAAAATGGTAAAAATTAGCTTTAAAATATAACTTCTATAAATTAATATTCAATTAATTAATATATCGATAAATTAATTTATTTTTCCGTTCTCGAATTAGTTTTTCCGGTCAATTAGCATAGTCTGAAACAATTATTTCATTGAGGCTTCTCAGCCTAGCCACATCAGCAAAATGAAATTTTCCCACAATCTGCCACGTCAGCGACTACTTCACGAAATCTCTCTTTGAGATCCTTAATAGCACGCAAAAAATAGTTAATAAAGACATATATTATTATTAATGGGCTGAACTAATGACTCAAAAAAAATAGCCCAAAAAACTCAAAAGCTCAAACAAACAAAACCCAACTAGAGCATAAGACACAACAAGACTCTTCTTCTTCTTTAACGTCTAAACCTACATCGCCATTGAAGAACCTAAACCGCTTCGCCTTCCCCATATCTGAAATTAAGCACCCCCGTTACCACTTAATTTTCTTAATTGCCCACTTTTCCTTGATTTAAATGGCCACTCTATTATCATTGATAACCCCTCCTCCCAGATCCTATAAAATATGCGTGACTGCGTCTCCGTAATACAACCGTCACCACCAAATCGTTGTTAAGCCACTCAGAAAACTAACCATGACAGCTTTGCCTACCTTCGTACCTGCCAAAATACTGGACGGAAAAACTTTCGATGATCTTTAAGTGCTTTTTGTTAGAATTGAGTCCATGATTAAATCTTCTAATATCATATGTGTTAGTTTGTATGTAAAGGCAACGGATCTAATGTGTTACATGTGACTTACCACGAACGGGTGTGAGTAAGAGACGTACCTTGTCGGAGAAGTTACAACTGTTACCAACGGTTAAGTGGAGTAGTTATGTAAACATGTATATAAGTGTGTATGTCTTGTCTTAACAAAACAACAAGTTTCAGTTTAATAAAAAGTTTTCTATTTCGTTCTTGTCTTCTTCAAAAGAGAAGAGATATTATCTCTTACTCTGTTCTTCAATCTCCCTCAATTATCCAACATGGTATCAGAGCTTATTTGGTCTTGGAGCCTGTCCAAGTAAAACAAAGATAAGAAAAAATTCCGCTGCGAGAAGAAGAGAAAGATGGAGACAACAAATTAACGGTGAGAAACCGAAAAGAAAAAAAAAGGAGAAGAAGAAGAAACAGGGAAGGAAGAAAAAAATTGATGGTGACAAGAGAGGGTACCATCAACCTTCACAAACGTATTCACAAGCATTTCCTTCAAGAAGAAGGCTCCAAAAGCGATGAAGAAGATAGGAAATCTTTTCTAAAGGCAACGGAGAAAACGGATGTGGATTTGGAGTTGTGGAAGGAGAATTCTGAAACTTTGTTCAACAAGGTCTTGGTGAAGTTCAAGGATGCAAAGAAGACATCACTTGATGAAGTTGAGAATCCGAAGTAGGAGTCAACTGAAACAAGACGGAGGAAGCCGCCTGTGTAAGAAACAGAGCAAGGCTTAGTATCAAAAGGTGTTGTTGAATTGTAAAGAACACTGCAACACGGAGTAAGCTTCTGTTGGGAGAACAGTGCAAGGCTACTCAGCAAAAAGGTTCAAGGGAACTGATGAGACGTCATCGAGACGTGATGGTGATCAAAAGAGGACACCATAAGAGGATGCTTACCTCGGAGAAAAATGGAGCACAAGAGGATGCTTACCTCGGAGAAAAATGGAGCATAAGTCGGTTGAAGAGTAAACCGAAGACGACGTGAAGAAGATTCACGCACAAGACGTCATGGAGACGTTATGGTGATCAAAAGAAGACACCGAAGAAGACGTGACGATGTTCACGCACAAGACGTCTACGTGACGTGATGGTGATCAAAGGAAGACACCAAGCAAAAAGGAGAGATGCTTACCTAAGAGGGAAAGGAAGCATTGGGTTGTTGTAGAGACAATCGAAGAAGACGTGGAGAAGATTCACGCACAAGAAGTTACAGAGACGTGATGGTGATCAAAGGATCACATATTTGGTGATCAAGAGGACACAAAAAGGGAATAAAAAGAAAGCTCACCTAAGAGAAAGGGAGTGAAAGAATGTTGCAAGGACAGCCGACGAAAAAGTGACAAAGGATCACAAAAAAAAAAAATTTTGAAGGTGACAAAGGAGAAGCCTTGTGGGAAAGAGAAATCTCAACAGTGTGGAACGTCAAATACAAGTAGCAAAGAAGGTGCTCTGCACGTAACAAGCCAGGGCACGTGGTGAAGAAAGGTTAGGAAGGCCGAGAGAGCGTACCTAAGCCTAGAAGAAACAGATGATGAGGGTCATATACTGTTTAGTGCAGTTGAAGAAAGATCATCATCAAACGTGAATGATGAGACATGGAAAAGGGAAATATCCAAGTGATGACAAGCCAAGAAGAGAAGATCATCAAAGAGGTGTTTCTAATTCCGGGTTTAGCGAGAAATCTGTTGAGTGTTTTTAAAATGATATCCAAAGGATATAGAGATTCAACTTCACAGCATCTGCAGAAAAGAAAGAGGAAAACCGATGAATGAAGCATGCGATCAAGAGGGAGACACAAGGAAAGCTTACTAGTAAACTATGCCATCTTCGTGAAAGGGATTTGACCAGAGAAGTGGCACCAGAGGCGAAGAAGAAACTATGGGATTGAAATCCCTAGATTGAAACTAGGGATTTAATCAAAGGACTCAAGAGGGAGTGTTAGAATTGAGTCCATGATTAAATCTTCTAATATCATATGTGTTAGTTTGTATGTAAAGGCAACGGATCTAATGTGTTACATGTGACTTACCACGAACGGGTGTGAGTAAGAGACGTAACTTGTCGGAGAAGTTACAACTGTTACCAACGGTTAAGTGGAGTAGTTATGTAAACATGTATATAAGTGTGTATGTCTTGTCTTAACAAAACAACAAGTTTCAGTTTAATAAAAAGTTTTCTATTTCGTTCTTGTCTTCTTCAAAAGAGAAGAGATATTATCTCTTACTCTGTTCTTCAATCTCCCTCAATTATCCAACACTTTTTGCAAAGAAGAAGTCTTATTCAGATTGCTCTGGGAGGTTTGCAATCACACGAGAGCCTATGATCTTTAGGGAAGCTATGACTTTTATACATCCTTTGGAGTGAAGAATGTAACATTGGTTTATACTTTTCTCTTTAACGGTGTATCAAGCATGCACATTTGATATTGATAACCCATGGGGAGTAACTTCTATTCATGTGTCATCAACAGAGAAGGGTGTGGAAGAGGCCACCAAAAGATTCAGTAAACATACATATACCCACGTGGTTAACAAGTTAGTTGAATGCTAATTTCTTTAATATCTCACTAACTTATCTTTCTTTTTTGTAGGTAAATGGATCAAGTGGAGAAACCATTTCATGTACTTTTTCCTGAGAATCCCTATCGTTGCCCTGCGTAACATCGACGTTGGCTATCATCAAGAAATATTGGTGTTGACACTTGACAATATTAGAATGTGGATTACGTTTGAGTACAAAATATATGGTCCATTACTTTTAACTTTGTAATGTCATGCCAAAAACATCAAATATAAATTTTCTATGGACATGGAACTTACTACAAAATGTGTCCAATCATGGGGGTTATTTTCCTACATACTTCGAAGTTCGAACGTCGATCGGTTTGGATTTCTATGCTTTATATTGACATATGTTTGACTCCTACATAGTAAAATTATTTTAGAATATTTACATCTAAAGCATATAAGTATCCATTACTCTTAACTTTGTAATGTCATGCCAAAAACATCAAATATAAATTTTCCATGGACATGGAACTTACTACAAAATGTGTCCAATCATGGGGGTTATTTTCCTACATACTTCGAAGTTCGAACGTCGATCGGTTTGGATTTCTATGCTTTATATTGACATATGTTTGACTCCTACATAGTAAAGTTATTTTAGAATATTTACATCTAAAGCATATAAGTATGCAAATAAATAAGATGGTGAGAGGCCTAAGTGAGGTATGGCTTGATTAGGAGTTACTAATTGTAAGTTGTTAGATATGTGATGTCTGAGTTTTTTTTTTACTTTGTATTTTAAAAAGGTATGGTTTCTCAAATAATGTATTTGAAAGTGTGTCATAATGTTCAAATATAAATGACTTTAGTAGCAACAGAAACCATTAAGAAAAACATAAAATCTTCTGTTCTTACGCAGGCTTTCCAAATTAAAGAATTGAATTAGAATATAAGCTATCGACTTCAAAATACATTTAATTAACAAAAAAACGTTTGAAGATGTACAACCTACAAAAAAAAATAATCCTAAAACAACTTATAAAAAGAACACCAAAGCTGCAAAATATGAAGAAGCCAATTAAGTTAAAACTTAATTTTTACAACTAAGTATGGAATAAATTTTTTTTTATAGACTATTAATAAATAACTAAAATAAATTTTATAAATATAAATTACAATGAAAAAAGTTATATAGTTTAACAATTTATAGTATCATGTTTTCTTTATTAAAATATTACATATCATATGATTTTTTCAATGTAAACTTAAAACTAAAATGAATCTACATAAACAAATTTTAAAGTATCATTATAATACGAAAGAAGCCTTTACCAATAGCTCAATTCTTCGATACGATCAAGAATCAGGTGATTTTCTCTGATCTTGGACTTGTCAAAATTGCTGATTTTCTTTGGTCAAATTCCTTCCTACTCGTTTCCTTTAATCCATCTTTGTGGGGTGAGAAGTTACGGGAATTGTTGCGCTGGTTTCTCCAAGAGCAGAGGAAAAGAAGTGCGTTTGAGCAATGTGGTAAGACAAAAGCCAAGATGGACGAGTTATCAAATATTGTTGGTTTACGCGAGCTGAAGACACAATGAGGAAATGGGCTAAAGGAATGCTTTTAGATGAGAGGCGAAGGGCTCTTGGGCTAAACATTGGAACAGGTGAGAAGAAAAGATTTGTATTTATGGTTCTCCTGGAACAGGTGAGAAGAAAACATTGTTGGCCATACAGGACCAAAGACCAGGAGAAAGGTGAAAGCACTGTTCATAATATTCTAATTTCACTTGTGGGTTTGGATTCAAGAATCTAAATTCTTTCTGACTACTTTCTTTTGTTCCTTGAATTTGTAGTGTGTGTGAATCATATAATTCTTGACCAGTGACCACCAAGAAAAGCAGTAAATTTTAGCTAATAATTTCAAAAAAAAAAAAACATTGTTTTGTAATTCTAAAGGGAGATTGAAAACATGTTTATCTGAAGTGAAGAAGAAAAGGAAAAGCATGTTATTCAAAGCATGTGGAAGATGAAGATCTCTCTCTACTTCAGTAGTAGCTCTTCTTGCCTGGAATCTCTTGGACCTGGCCATCTAAGAGGGCATCAAAGAGGAGCAGAAACAAGATCAAACTTAACTAAATTCCCCTGGGAAATATAATTGAATTCAGATTGCAAGCGAAAAATCAGTCACCTTGGAGATAGGTCCCGCTGTTTGCATGGCTATCAGCTTCAGAGTTGTATTCCTGCAGTTTGGAAATTAGACAAGCGGTTGTCGATTGTTCAAAACATGAAAGGATCTGTGCAATAATACCATACCCTGGGAACATGCGTGATATCGAATGACTTGAATTGGCTCTTAAGCTCGTTCGTCTGCTTCCACTGCTCTGCCATTCTCGGGTGTCTGACTTGCCATTCACCCCGCGTCTGTTTCAAGATAGCTATCAGAAGGTCTTCGAGAGAGTAAACAGAAGATAGATACTTGTAAGGCAACTGACCTGCTTAACGACAAGCTCAGAGTCCCCATAGGCCTTCACGTGTGTATACCCTTTTTCGCGAGCAGCCTCCAAACCACGGTTCAGACCTCGATATTCCGCCTGGTTGCTTGTTGCAGTGCCTAATCCTTCACGGTAGGAGGCGATGACAGTTCCATCTGAATCACGCAGAACAGCTCCTGAACCAGCTCTTCCTGGGTTTCCTTTCGAAGCTCCATCAAACTCAATGATGCAATGCTTCAGAAAACAGTTATATTAGAATGTACAAAATCATTAAAACTGGACTAATCTAAGCTCTTTATCAGGCATGTAAAGGAAAAAGAACATAACGAATAAGTTAAGGCTTCTCCTCAGAAGAAAAAAAATACTTCAATAGGGTTTCACCAAAGAACAAATCCCTCATTCTTCAGATCTCTGCTAGAGATCTCGGGATCTCCAGATTCTATTTCGATCTTTGAGTATCTCAAGCTTCATAATCGACTATTTTTAATAACTATTTATTATTAAAGTAAACAAGATGGCAAAGAAACAATTAAACAAAGAAAAGCTAGAGTCCATGTTTAACCAAAATCGAGAAAATCAAGCAAAGAAAATGATTAAACAGATAAGGGAAAGATTCAACATCAGAAACAGAGTGGAGGAGATCTCGGCTTTACCTTGTCCATGTCTCGAGTCGTCTCCGTCACTGCGCTGCGAGATTAAGAGCAAGATGGGATATGACAATTGTACAACTTTGGGACTTGTAAAAACGACGCATATATAGTACAAGTTTCTAGGTTTACAGCCCTCAAAGAATATTCTTTTTTGGGGTAAATATACTTTTTTGAGGATTTTTTTTTTTTTTTGGAACAATTACATATATAATATATTATTATTAAAATATAATTTATGTTAAATAATAGAGGTAAAAAGAAAAAGAACAACAATCTAAGCAACCAATCAGTGTGTTCCATGTGGCCACTCAAAATTAATCAACTCTGTTGATAATTTTCAACACTAAACTTGCTACATAATTGCCACCATTATGGTTAGGCCTGGACATATGGGTAACCCGTTCGGGTTCGGGTAAAACATGTTCAGGTTCGGGTTAAATGGGTAATGAATTTACGACCCATTCGGGTATTTCTAAATATTCGGTTCCAGTCCAGTTCGGGTATCGTTGGGTTCGGGTCGGTCTGAGTAATAAGTATGAGAACCGAAAAAACCCCAAAAAATTAGGGTCTCCATTGGGTTCGGGTCTAAATGGGTAAAATTACCCATAAACCCGAAATATTTCTCCATTACCCAAAATTTTAAACCATTTTACATGCACAAAACATCAAATAAAGAGAATAGAACATAAACATGACATCTAAATCCAATCCAAAGTCACAATGATTAATACTTAAGAGTTAAGAGTAGAGAAACCCGAATATGAATATGAAAACATAAATCCGATTATCCAAATATCAAAAACATTGAACTAGATAGAATTAGAAGTAGGATTGTAGCCTTGTTGGAAGTTGATAGATGGGTGATGACTGGAAAAATATCTCTCATAAGCTCATCTTCCACCATTATATAAGACTATATGACTATATCTATATACGTATATAAACACATATGTCTTCAGTTTTGGGTTTATGGGTACCCTATATGGGTAACGGGTAATCCCGATCCGAACCGATACCCATGGGTTGACCAATACTCTACCCAATGAGGTAATTTCCGAATACCGTAACCCGCCCCAACCCAGTTTTTTTGGTTTGGATATCGGATCCGGTTTTTTGTCCAGGCCTAATTATGGTCATTTACACCACCACCATTGCACTCTTTTCAACGTTGATAATTCTTATCAACACCACCATTGCACTCCATTGACGAACTTAGAATATCTCAATGGAGTTCACAAATTAAAATAATGAAAAAAAAAAGAAAAAAGTAAGAGAGAAGGAGAAGAGGGGATTTTTGGAAACGTTTTATCTTGGTTAGTGACGTAGTAATAATGTGTGAATTACACCCAATTAATTTATCGAACCTCAAAGAGTAAGCATTAACACACTAAGAATGCAAGTTACCATTAAATCTAAGCATAATAAGTTTGGTTTTGATTTGTAACAAAGCTATCTAAAAGACTAACAAGATTTAAAAATAAACAAAGCGAGAAATCAACTAACGGTTGTAAGCAATAGATAAAAAGCGAGTCTTTGGGTTTAGATTATTGATTCGGGTGTTCACTAATCAATCCATAATGCTCTATCAATCTAACAATGCTAATCCTTTAGTCTTAGAACACTAATGTCAATTAGTCCACTTCCATGGTACTAATCCATGCGATTAACAAAGACTTCCATCCGTAATCACAAGACTAATATGCATTAATTCCAAGCCTAACTAACCACCTAACACCCTAATCATCAATTTCCATTGGCTAGGAATTCTAAGCACTCACTAAGTTCTTTCGGGAATTTCATCGAACACCTTCCGGGCATGAAACTTCCTATGATCTAGACTAGCTTAATCAAGACTAATCTAGCATTAAAAACACCTAGAGAGCAAGGATCTATTAAGATTAAATCCTAAGCATCTTGAATCAATCAATAATCACCCTAATCTACTAAACCCAAAGGCCCAAAAGTGACTACTCACTAATCATCATGAAAACACAAAGATCCATAGAATTTCTTTGCATAATCATAATGAAAAAAAGGAAATAAGCAAATTTCGATCTCATCTTTATTCCTCAAAATAATTTTAATAAAAAAAATATATAAATAAATTTTTATTCAAATAAAATTAAAATTATTGCCACATCATTTAAAATTAATGATATATTCTAATTGGAAGGGTAAAATTGGAATTTTATTTTTGTTATGAAAGCGTAAGTATGAAAATAACAATATTTTATTTTTATAGGTATTAAATCGTATATTTTAATTTTTATGTGTTTTTTATTCCAATCAAAAAAATTTAGGTATTAAACGTCCAAATAAAAAATAAACCATGGTTTTTTCGGGTTTTTCCCCTTTAATTGGTTCCAGTGCCGGCTCAGATGGGTGGGCGGGCGGTGCGACGGCCAGGGGTCCAATCCCGTAGTCCAATAATTTAGGGGCCTATTTTCTAAAATATTTTTTAAAAAATATTAAAAAATTAGATTATAACATAAAAATAAAATTTAGAAAGGTCTATAAAATTTTTTATTTATTGTTTTTAGTATTAGTAATTAATATTTTTAACAAAAATAGCATAGAAAATTTTTTTACAGCAAAAAATATTAAAAAAAAATTTCTAAGAGTCCAAAATTTTTTTTTGCCCTAGAGCCCATAAAAATGTTGAGCCGCACTGTTTGGTTCTTCAGAATCATTTCAGCAATTTTTTTAATTTGTCGCACATTTCAGCATTTTTTTGGCGCCTTTAGAATAACCTTTTCTTATTTTATTTTTTCTTAAATCATCCGAAAAATTATCCTTTAACTTAAAATAATTTTCGAATGAAAAAAAGATCAACCACTCCGACTCAGTGGTTCCGATCATGGCCGATGATGAGTCACGTACCATCCTGTTGGAGAAGAACGAAGATTGCCCTGGTTGTATCATTGATCGAACTAAGCAAGATCAACGAGGCGTCCCTTACTTCCACCTCTCCTTCATCTGGCTCGTCTCACTCTGCACCGGTTAACAATTTCTCATACTTCCTTTCTCTCTCTTAGGAATTTCTACAAACACTTGGTGTGCAAGTAATTCGGATTCGAATTATGTACTTTTGTTTGTTTCTCTGATGCTGATGTTTCAAAGCTTTTGGTGAATTTCAGCTCTCCCAATATCTTCACTGTTTCCGTATCTTTATTTCATGGTAAGCTTAGTTGTTGTTGTTGCTTCTAACTCCATTAGTTAGCTTGGTTTGAGTTCAACATGACCAGTAATGTACATATGTGTTGTGGCAGATCAGAGACTTTCATATTGCAAAACAAGAAGAAGATATTGGTTTCTATGCTGGTTTTGTTGGTAATGTTATTTGTCTTAGGCTATTTGTTTTTGCTTGAACACCAATCTTGATCTTTCTTTTACTTTCTCAGCATCATCATTCATGATTGGAAGAGCTTTGACATCTATTTTCTGGGGGAAATTAGCTGATCGATATGGTCGCAAACCTATTATTCTGATTGGGACATTCTCAGTGTTAGCTTTTACTTTGTTCCCTCAGAGTAAAGATGTTTTCTTTTTTTTTTCCTGCAGATTTTTTATCACAAGGTTTCCGACTCTTTTCAGGATCATATTCAATACCCTCTTTGGTCTAAGCACAAGTTTCTGGCTTGCAATTTCCGTTAGATTTCTTCTTGGCTGCTTCAATTGTCTACTTGGAGTTATAAGGGTAACTTTTAGTCCTGTGGAATAATATGCCACTTTGTCTTTCTATTAAGTGACTGCTCTAGATAAGAAAATGATCACAAGTGTTAGGTTTCTTCTG